GGCGCCCTAAGAGCTGGCGTGCAGCTCTTTGTCACCCCTTCTGGCGCAGCGCGTCAGGATGCTGCACCAGGAGGATATCAGGATGTTGCCGCTGTGGGGTTGGGGCAGCCGGCGTGCAGCTGCCCTGGCCCATCTTTGCTTCCAGGCTGGCCCTTTAGGCCAGTCTGTAGAGGCCCTTACTCTAATTTAGTATCTTATCGCCAATGTTTAAGATTAATGCAAATACTGATTTTCTTTTATGGCCTCTTCTTCATTCTATTCTTACAAGCAGATCCTCTAAATATTCAGTACAGCTATTGTACCCCATTTCCTATTTAAAAATACATATACTGTGTACCAGTCCTTCCTGAATTTTTCTAACAAATTGTATTAGTTTATCCATTTCAATTATGTCATATAATTTAAACAACCAATTATCCTCACTAGGGGCCCATTTTGTTTTACGTTTCTGTGCATTTCTGTTACATTGCTATTGCTATAGAATCTTTTTTTTTTAAATCCCATATTCTCTCATCAGTTTGTCATCAAATATACCTAATAGGTAAATTTCAGTTTTCATTTGCATCTTAACATTTAGAATTTTACCAATTGTATTACCATTACCCAATATCTTTGTAGATGTTTGAAGGACCACCAACTATGGCAAAAAGTTTGAGGCTTTTTCTTACACTTCCAGCATTTATTATCTTTTGTTTTTTTAAACTATTTTATTGGGAATCAAGTATTAACGAAGATACATTTTATAATAATTCTTTCTGATCTTTTGTGAGATAGTGTATTTTATCCCTTTAGTCCATGTTTTCACCAACTGAGAAAGTTTTATTGGGTGTTCCACATTTTTAGTCCAATTTATCATAGGTTCTTTTACTCTCTCATCTTCCATTTCAAATTTTAGTAGTGACTTACACTCCCTGTAATTCTTTTCTGTCATTAATTCAACCCACCAGCTTTTCCAGTGCTTTCCCCCCTCCCTCAGTCCTCATCACAAGCTTAGCACAATAGAAAGCCAGGAGCAGCTTTACTTATATCTTACTTTCCCTCTCAAAGCTGGAACTCAAGGCAGTGATTAAAGACATGAGTATGGCCTGTTCTTCCTCTTGTATGATGTGTATGATAATTGATCAGGAATATATGGAATTCAGCTTTCTCCCTGGAATCCAAAAAGAGTTCAGTTCCATCTAGGAGCTTCAGAAGTTCCCAGATATCCAAGAAACGTAGACATTATCAAGCATAGGATACAGTTTTGGCTTTTTGGTTGTTTCTCTTGGTTTGGAGATGCTAGTAGAATCACTGGCAACTTCACTCCTAGTCAGCCCCCCCCGCCATCGGGAATGGCAACATTGCCCTTCCCAACCCAATGAGATGCTCCAAATCCTTTTCCTGACCTCCCTATTCTTCAGCAAGGTCCCTATGCTAGTCATTTGTCTAAGTTATGTTTTCTGAACAGATAATATCCTGCCCATCGGCTAATAACCAGACCATATTGTTAAAGCAGGAAGATCCAGGAATGACAAGTTAATGAAAAACCCATTTTCCGTCTAAGCTCTGCAAATGACTGGCAGAGGCACCCTGCTGAAGAATAGAGAGGTCATGAAAAGGGTTTGTGTGTGATATTTTACTGCTAGTGGCATAGAATTGTATGCTACTTTGTGCCAATAGTAATGGTAAGCTGTTGTGAACTCAGCACAGATATGACATAACATAGAAGTAGGGAACTTTTCCATCCTGTTATGATATCTGAAGATGTCAGACATGGGCACTTCCTGAAGCCCAAAAAGTCTGGCAAGTGAGTTGTAGGAATAGAGGGTTTGATGCATTTGGTGGAGGATGGAGGTAGGAGGAATCATCCTTGGTTTATATCCCTAGTGGCATAAAAGCCCAGACCTCACAACAAAGACATCACTAGGCTCAAAATGTACTCACGTTTTGTCAAAGGTGCAAATGTGGAATTGGTCAGGCACAGAAAACTCACACACGGAGTGCCTTTTGGTTTCCCCACAACAAGGGTACTTGCCACCCACATGACTTCCACTGTGGTTGAGGGTGAGCTGAAATTCATGTTCAATCTTGCTGGCATTTAGGAATGCTTTCATAAGGACCATCTCCCAGTAGTCTGTCTTAAGAGGAGGAGAAGGGTTTTCTGAACTTCCTTTTACCAGGGAACCTTTGCAGCCAACATAAAGAGTGCTTTATCCATAGGTGATGTCTCTTGTACCCAGGCAGTGAGACAATTCATGGATGAGTATACCTGGCTGGGAATTTTTCTCAAGATATTCTAGAGCTTTCCAGAACATAGTGCATAAATAGATTTTTTTTCTCAACTTTTCAGTTTATATATGCATATGTGGATGGCTGTCTTAATATCCTTCTTAAATGTTACCACCTTGAGTTCTGCATGAGCTTTTAAACTATCATCTTCTATCAGTATTGCATGACATTCCATCCAAAAGGTCTCTTTCTCTTCTCCTTTAAGGACGACTCTCTCAGGTCTCTTCATCAGCACTTTGTCCTTCTTCTTCAGGGCATCTTGCAGGATCTCCAGGGCCCCCTGCTTTGCTGCTTCTGAGGTTTTTACCTCCTGCTTGGGAAGGTCTTGAATTATATCTTTCTTTTCATTCTGAATTATATCATTCTTCTCATTCTGAATTATATTGTTCTTTTCGTTCTGATTGTAAACTGAGGCAATGAAAGGACTGAACCCATAACTGTGCAAATAAAAACATGCATCAATCTGCACCAGTTTTCTTATTCAGTTTTCTGCTACAGGGAAGATGAAATAAAACACGGACAGAAAAAATCAACACATTATTGTGGGGAGAAAGTACATTACTGTGTCCATGCTACATATCCAAGAACTAACTATAGTGGAGATTTTCCATCTTTTATGAAGGGATGAGCCAGAAGGCTACCATATGTCACTGTAGTGCCACTTTGATCAATCAGAAGTAACATTGTGTCACTCCTGGTCACTTTTCTGAGAGTTTTGATTTATTTTTATTTTTTCTGTTTTCAGGGTGACCCCTACCCCCCAGCATTATTTGGCTTAATTTCATCAGTGCAAGTGTTTTGAGGATGTGGTGGCTGAAAACTTTTTGCATACAATTTTTGAAGTGGTCCTGGGAGCTTTGGGAGTCAGAGGCTCTGAAGGGTTGCATAGCTTCGAATCTTGTCTTAACAGGCATGATGAAAGAACTTTATAGGAGCTGTGAGGCACAGGGTCTTGAAGCCTTGTTATGCAGGAGGAAAACAACTTTCTTGAACAAAACCCTAAGTTTCTTCTGTCCCTTTGTCTTCTGCCATGTTGCCCTGAATCCCTGAAGCACCTTCCCAGTCTATCTGGACTCTCTTTCTTTCAGATGGACCCTTCTACCTTCATTTTGATCTTGGTTAGATCTTAAAAGAACCTTCCTATGTAGTAATTACAGTGCCAACCAGAATTGGAGAGATGCAAGTCCAGGTCGAAGCCATGAAGGCTGCAGGATGACCTTGGACAAATCAACCTCTCAGTCTAACAAAATTCACAGAGCTGTTTGGCAGGTGAAGATGCAAGGAGGAGGGATCTTCAAGGAGTGGCTGCCTTAGCAGCAGATGCTTGTGTGGCAATTTGAATGTACATTGTCACTTGACAGTAGGAAAGACTTATCTTGACATCCTCTGTCACATTGTTGCAGTTCCAATTGACTTAATGGGTGAGGAAATCAAGTTCTTTGAATGAGCCTGGCATCGTCCCATCTGAATTTCTCATCCTTTCTTGCTTCTCTTCTTTAACTCTTTCACAATATGTCACCTGGACTTAAGGGTCTTTGAATTGAATTCCTGGAATGTTTTCACAATTTTATTCCATACATTTAATGCTCATCCCCTTGATTGCATCTCCTTCCTGATGGACTCCTGTAGCCTTTCTCCCTTTTTCTATTGCCCACAAATTAATCCATCATACCTTCCTTTTCTCCTTCTCCCAGGTGCTGAATCTCCTCTTTGCAAAGCCAAAACAAGGGTGGCCCTATTTATTAGCAAATTACCACCACTTTCAGGATCCTAACAATTTTGTTTCTCAGCTACAATTGATCCTAAATTACAGGAATCCATAAAAATAAACATATAAGTGCCATCACTGAATGTCAAAGAGGGTTAGTCTAAAAAGCAGTCACCGCAAATGAAATCAGCTTGTGGGAAAATGCATTCTGATTTCAGTACCTCTGATAAAATGGTTGAACAAAGTGAAGCCATCCAGATGTTGTTGGATTGCAACTCTCATAAGTATAGTTAATGGTGAGATATCATGGAAGCTGCAGTCCAATAATATCTGGAGAAATGAAAATGGTAAATCACACAAATGAGAGACTTGTTCATTTTGA